CACACACACATATACACACACATACATGCAGTGCATGTTAAAATGCGTTTTTATTACAAAATATATGAAAAATATTTTTAAAAATACATTTCAAATATACTGTATATCTTTAAAAATACATAATGTACATTTTTGGAATGCATTTACAAATATATGTTAAAATTACTTTTTATATGTTAAAAAAAATCTGAAGAATATATTTAAAATATATTTTTAAAAATATATATTTTTTAAATATATTCTTCAGATTTTTTTTAACATATAAAAAGTAATTTTAAAATGTTTACATATATTTGTAAATGCATTCTAAAAAATGTAGATTTGTATTTTTAAAGCCATACAGTATATTTGAAATGTATTTTTTAAAAATATTTTTCATTTATTTTGTAATAAAAAATGCATTTCACCATGATATACAGGTGAAACTCGAAAAATTTGAATATCATGCAAAAGTTCATTTATTTCAGTAATGCAACTTAAAAGGTGAAACTAATATAGGAGATAGACTCATTACATGCAAAGCAAGATAGTTCAAGCCGTGATTTATCATAATTGTGATGATTATGGCTTACAGCTCATGAAAGCCCCAAATTCACAATCTCAGAAAATTAGAATATTGTGAAAAGGTGCAATATTCTAGGCTCAAAGTGTCCCACTCTAATCAGCTAATTAAGCCATAACACCTGCAAAGGGTTCCTGAGCCTTTAAATGGTCTCTCAGTCTGGTTCAGTAGGAAGCACAATCATGGGAAAGACTGCTGACCTGACAGTTGTGCAGAAAACCATCATTGACACCCTCCATAAGGAGGGAAAGCCTGAAAGGTAATTGCAAAAAAAGTAAAAGGTGCACAAGCAGCAGGGATGACTGCAACCTGGAGAGGATTGTCAGGAAAAGGCCATTCAAAAGTGTTGGGGACTTTCACAAGGAGTGGACTGAGGCTGGAGTCAGTGCATCAAGAGCCACCACACACAGACAGATCCTGGACATGGGCTTCAAATGTCGTACTCCTCTTGTCAAGCCTCTCCTGAACAACAAACAACGCCAGAAGCGTCTTACCTGGGCTAAAGAAAAACAGACCTGGTCTGTTGCTCAGTGGTCCAAAGTCCTCTTTTCTGATGAGAGCAACTTTTGCATCTCATTTGGAAACCAAGGACCCAGAGTATGGAGGAAGAATGAAGAGGCCCACACTGCAAGATGCTTGAAGTCCAGTGTGAAGTTTCCTTAGTCTGTGTTGATTTGGGGAGCCATGTCATCTGCTGGTGTTGGTCCACTGTGCTTCATTAAGTCCAGGGTCAACACAGGGGTCTACCAGGAGATTTTGGAGCACTTTCCACAGACGAGCTTTATGGGGATGCTGACTTAATTTTCCAGCAGGACTTGGCACCTGCCCACACTACCAAAAGCACCAAAACCTGGTTCAATGACCGTGGGATTACTGTGCTTGATTGGCCAGCAAACTCGCCTGACCTGAACCCCATAGAGAATCTATGGGGCATTGCCAAGAGAAAGATGAGAGACATGAGACCGAACAATGCAGAAGAGCTGAAGGCCACTATTGAAGCATCCTGGTCTTCCATAACACCTCAGCAGTGCCACAGGCTGATAGCTTCCATGCCACGCCGCATTGAGGCAGTAATTGCTGCAAAAGGGGCCCAAACCAAGTACGGAGTACATATGCATGCTTATACTTTTCAGAGGTCCGATATTGTTCTATTTACAATCCTTGTTTTATTGATTGCATGCAATATTCTAATTTTCTGAGATTGTGGATTTGGGGTTTTCATGAGCTGTAAGCCATAATCATCACAATTATGACAAATCATGGCTTCAACTGTCTTGCTTTGCATGTAATGAGTATCTCATATATTAGTTTCACATTTTAAATTGCATTACTAAAATAAAAGAACTTTTGCACGATATTCAATTTTTTTAGTAAAGAGAACAGAAAACCTAAATCATATCTGCCCTGGACCCCCTAAACAACAAAGGTGTAATAATTTTACATCAAGTATTCAGCATAACAGTGTAGCTGGTTACAATTTGAATCAAATCAAGACATATACAATGCCACCAACTACTAAAACTCAATCCTGTCCTGATAAAGAAAAGGAACCTGCTTGCAGGAGTTGCAATCAAACCCAACTGTGTTTAGAAGGCAGTTAACAAGGAAAGAGATAAAACTAAAAATATTCAAACTGTGTGCAAGTACAAACATACTAAATCCTTAAATAACCTTGTCAAAACCAGCTGCTGAGACAGGACAAACTGCATTCCTTAGGGGAAGACGACAATTAAGAACTTTTTGTTCAAATCAATGATACAGATCAATTTTTACTTTAGCATCTACTAAAAGCATTTGCTAATCACTAACAAACTTGTTACATAAGGTATATTAAGGATGTATTGAACTATATTATGGGATTTAACAAACTATGAGTGTATTAAAATGATCACATGACATGCATCTTTACTTGATGAACATTCAGTGAACAAAATAAACAGCGAATATCCTGATCATCATCCTGAACTGAATAATTAGTAGTTAAATACTAAAAAAAGAAAAGCATCTCAACTGACAATTAAATTGTAACAAAGACATATATATGTATTTATTTCAGGTACTTATACAGCGCTGTCAATTTACGCAGGGCTTTACACATATATATTGAACATTCACATATAAAATACAGTTTGTCTGTAGCACTAACACAGCAGTCTTTGTCTTTCTAAGCCCCCAATAATTTAGTTTTATTAATTATACTACTTTAAAAGCATCAGCCACACCCCCAAAGACAAACCACTAATATTAGTGTGGTTCATCTCCCCAATATATAGTACATAGAACCCAAAACAAGAAGGAAAATGGAAAACTACTTGGCACTCAGATTTTCTTGTAAATATTTATGTTAACTGCCCTTTATAAATATATTAATCTTACATTATTAAATCATCCATAAATCGTAGCCAAAGTGCAACATGCCTACCAAACCCACTAGGCTTGGTAGATGACCAACTCCTCCCAACAGCCCAAATAAAAACATAGCAAACATACAAATATATGCCGATACACATGCCATCCCCATGCCCGGTTTCTGGCGACATTGAAACAGAAAGTTGCTGTTCCGTAAAAATAAAATCCAATAAACTTATAAATCCATTATGGTTACCAAAACCTTTGAACCACCAATCCAATAAGTTTTCACATGCAGTGAGACCCACAAAGTGTGGTATGGATGTGTACAAAGACTCTACATCCAAGTCCACTAACTACCAATCATCTTCTAACGCAGTACCTTCCAATTTCCTCAGAACATCTCCTGTGTTCTTTGCGTATGATCTCAAAATTTTTCACAATGGGTTGTACATTTTTTTTTTAATCTATATGTTTACCTACCTAGTCTGTTGGACTTCCCCTACTCAAAAGTGCCCTGGTGGTACTTGTTTATTCTTATGAACCTTCAGCAGGGTATAGAATGTGGGTATTGTGTATGTATCTGCTTTTAAGTTTTCATATTCTTGTTCTGATAGTACCCTTTCAAGAAAGCCCCATTTGAGACTCCTATTCAAATTCTTCACTAGGCCTGGGAACAAGCCCTCTCTTACCTTTTCATAATCTACTAAGTTGCCTATAAGTTTTATCTCTATATTGGGTCTCAGACTGCAGGACATTACCCTTTTCATCACTAGGTTTTATAACCACATCCTTAGCTTTTTTAATGTTTCTAAAGAGTTTCTCTCATTGGAGGGTTTCTTATCCATGCACTGTAACAACTAATCTAGTATCTTCAAATCCACCGTCACCAAGCCAATAACATTGAAAGATATATATTTAATACTATGAATGGCATCTTATTAAATTTATTTCACAAACCTGTTCCTTAGGGGTACAGACATCTGCCTTTGGTATACTATATGAATATTTATCCAATGAAACATCATCCATATTTTTTCATGCAAATGTAGGTGCACCGTTGCAAGATCAAGATATTTTACCCAGAGAGGTGTGCTAGACTTACTATTTAATGTATTTGATGGGTCTGCACAGCCTTTTGGATACATATAGCATGTTACTTTTTGCATGGCTTACAAACTGATATGAATTTCCTGAGAGAATTATGACAATTGTCAAACAACATCATGGGAAGATCATTGATTTTATAAAGGGTATTTAACATTAAACAAATATGTAAGGAAATTTGGGTTCAACATAATTCTTTTACCCAGTGATACAGCCAGTAAATCTGTTATTTTTCGAATTCCTTCAACAGCCCAAATGGTCTTGCAAAAGTGGAAGTTAGATGGTTGAGATAAAAAATGTAACATTGAAGGGGGCTTGCTTTTATCCATGTATGCAAAACCTTTATCCCAAAAGAAAAAACAATTGCTGTACCTGTTTAAAAAACATTAGCCGGAGTTGGGCTTTACAATGTTAATCACAAATGTAAAGTCCCCCCAGGTCTACTACTCCATCCAACATCATCTCTCTTTACTGACTTGACATGGCTGCTGTCCCAAATGGTGACTATGTTGCTCCTCCACTGATGCAGAGGAGAGTGAATGCAGCCACCCAACGACAGGAGGTGTGTTACTGACTGATCACCAGGTGAAAATAAAAGCTTAAAAAAAAAAAAAAAAAGAAAGCAAATGCAGCCACCACATCCACTGCCTGGTAATCTGCAATATATAAAATGCTTGTTTTTGGGTTTGGTTATGCTTTCAGATATGATTATCTAAACTTAATTTTTTATTTCAAATCTGTATTTCCTTTTCAATACATCCAAGCAGAAATCTTGGTCCAAAGGAACAGTGGATACATAGCTTATAGCAACAAATCACGTTAGCTCTTAGTTCCCTATCCACATCTGCAAAGTAACAGCTGGGCTGTTTGGAATTAAAACGTTTAAGAGTATCTGTATATCATATGGCAGAGGCTCCAGATGGCAATGCAGATCCCCCCTCCATTTATAAAATACTGTTTGCACTAAAATGCTGCAGCTCACCTGTTGGTTGGCCATAGTGTGATACCACCAGAAACACCTGGAAGTGATGTAATAAGCAACAACAACATCCACAGTATAGTGGTCATGTGCCAGAAGAATACAGAAGACCCCGACAACGCTGAGACACCAGCAGATCCAGTGATACCACCAGAGGCGTCGAGATGAATCTGTTAAAAGGAAAGAACAAAAATATTTAAAAAACATTTTTTTTTTTTTTTAAGCAAATAATTATTTTTCTTTGTTTAAGTACAAATAAGGGCTCCAGTAGTTGCAGAAAAAAAACAAGTAGACCTGGATGAAATGGTTTAAGAAACCGAACACGTGTAGATAGGCTCCCTCAGCCTGCCAAAGTATCACTACATAGTAATGTCTACAATTGTTAGTTAGCTGATGAGGAATTTAGTTAGCAGTGATAGGTGATCAATAAGAATTGAATTGAAAACCCAAATCAGATCTGTGCTGCATCCCCTAAAGAAAGTTGTACTTCATTTATATTAGGTACTTACCACAGCACTGTACCTGCTTAAAATATTAATCAAATCAAGACCTATAGTACGCCAATAACTACTACAAATCAAAAGCCCTGAAAGACAAAAAAAACCTGCTTGCATGACTTGAAACAAAGTCCCATACTGTTTAGGAAGCAAGTACTAATACTATAATTCTTCAAACTGTATAAAAGAACCTAGTATAGGTTACTTTTTACTAGCACAACCTTGGTAAAAGCAGTGTTGAACTAGGACCTATGGGCACACTAAGAAGGTATGTGCAGGACTTTTCAGTCTTAGCTTTTATTTCCTTAGAAAACAGTCACAGACTTAGTATAAAAGCTTGTCCCCTTCCAGCATCCTGCAGAGAAGGACCTTTGCTGTGTGGAAGCAGTGGTCTCTCTGCAGACGTTTGACACACCAACTGCTGAGTCAACAAAGCTCATGCTACTTGCTGAATTGAATGCTTGAATTTTGATCTACTGTTCTCTGCGACCAGATAAAAATGTGCCTAGGATATTAGAAATACTTACACTCTTTAATAAACATGTATGTCAGTGTTAACATGACTGTGTGGCCACTGTACAAATAGTCCCCACACATAGTGTGAGATCCTGTAATAGAAAGTCCTCCTCCTGCAATCAACTTCATTATCCTCCGGGACTGGGCTTCCCAGTTACCAAAAATCTGTAACAAACAAGACATGTTTTTTTAGTGTACAGAATATACAAATGTGAATGTCAAAAAGGTATATATTTTAGATATTATTTGAACTACTCGAACTGTCCAGAAATTGTAGATTGTAGTCCTGGAGTGCTAAGCTCCAAAATAAATAAAATAGTATTATCAAACTAATAAGATTTTAAACTTTAAAAAATTGGAGTCACAAAAAATGCATTATTTTATTTTTCTATTAAATGAGTAAAATTATAGCGCTAGATCCAAAATTTTTCTAGTTGCTGTAAAGAACCTGCAAACAACTTAATGCACTATGGGGCTGTGAAGTCAGTCCTGACAATTTTAATATTTTTTTTCTAATAGGGGAAAACATAGATTTGGGACAGAACCGGCGTGCCAGACTGGTATTATTGAGGGAGGCTTTCACTGTGGCTTTTTATGAAGGCACAATACAGGTCACCAGGAAAAACTTCTCTATTTTACTTTACCTATTAGCAGATAAAGTTTGCTGTGCTTACTTTCTTAAATACACACAAAAAAAAACAAAATATATAAATAAATATGTATAAAAAAGGGGTTTGAAGAAACCCTAAAATTCTGTGATGGGGACATATGTCCTGACACTAGGCAAAATACGCTGGCCTGTTCAGGATTTTGTCTCCAGAAAGGTTGCAGTGGTTTGGGTAGATCAGGTTTAAGCATGAATGCCAACTTTTTTTTTAAATTTGAATACACAAGAAATATTTAGAGAGGCATACTCAAAAAGTAACATTAGTTGCACAGCTGAAACTCTGAAGTATTCCATTAACATTCTTCCAGCTGTGTTACCTGTATGTCTACTTTAGGTTCAAGAAGATATTTTATGGAATTTCCTAATCGCACATCAATCATACTTCCAGATACCATACAAAGTGTAATTCCCCCATAAAACCTTTAGTTTGGGCATTGGAAAAAAAAAAAAAATTTCAATGCAATACTACCTCCAGTAAGAAAATACTCAAAGGATATTGAAAAGGTAAAGAAAAATCCTTACAGGGTATATACAGTGGGGCAAAAAGTATTTAGTCAGCCACCAATTGTGCAAGTTCTCCCACTTAAAAAGATGAGAGCGGCCTGTAATTGGCATCATAGGTAGACCTCAACTATGAAAGACAAAATGAGAAAACAAATCCAGACAATCACATTGGCTGATTTGGAAAGAATTTATTTGCAAATTATGGTGGAAAATAAGTATTTGGTCACCTACAAACAAGCAAGATTTCTGACTCTCACAGACCTGTACCTTCTTCTTTAAGAGGCTCCTCTGTCCTCACTCATTACCTGTATCAATGGCACCTGTTTGAACTTGTTATCAATATAAAAGATACCTGTCCACAACCTCAAACAGTCACACTCCAAACTCCACTATGGTGAAGACAAAAGAGCTATCGAAGGACACCAGAAACAAAATTGTAGACCTGCACCAGGCTGGGAAGACTGAATCTGCAATAGGCAAGCAGCTTGGTGTGAACAAATCAACTGTGGGAGCAATAATTAGAAAATGGAAGACATACAAGACCACTGATAATCTCCCTCGATCTGGGGCTCCACGCAAGATCTCACCCCATGGGGTCAAAATGATCAGAAGAAAGGTGAGCAAAAATCCCAGGACCACACGGGGGGACCTAGTGAATGACCTGCAGAGAGCTGGGACCAACGTAACAAAGGCTACCATCAGTAACACACTACGCCGCCAGGGACTCAGATCCTGCAGTGCCAGATGTGTCCCCCTGCTTAAGCCAGTACATGTCCGGGCCCATCTGAAGTTTGCTACAGAGCATTTGGATGATCCAGAAGAGGATTGGGAGAATGTCATATGGTCAGATGAAACCAAAATAGAACTGTTTGGTAGAAACACAACTCGTCGTGTTTGGAGGAGAGAGAATGCTGAGTGCATCCAAAGAAGAACACCATACCTACTGTGAAGCATGGGGATGGCAACATCATGCTTTGGGGTTGTTTCTCTGCAAAGGGACCAGGACGACTGATCCATGTACAGGACAGAATGAATGGGGCCATGTATCGTGAGATTTTGAGTGCAAACCTCCTTCCATCAGCAAGGGCATTGAAGATGAAACGTGGCTGGGTCTTCCAACATGACAATGATCCCAAACATACCGCCCCGGGCAATGAAGGAGTGGCTTCGTAAGAAGCATTTCAAGGTCTTGGAGTGGCCTATCCAGTCTCCAGATCTCAACCCCATAGAAAACCTTTGGAGAGAGTTGAAAGTCCGTGTTGCCCAGCGACAGCCCCAAAACATCACTGCTCTAGAGGAGATCTGCATGGAGGAATGGGCCAACATACCAGCAACAGTGTGTGCCAACCTTGTGAAGACTTACAGGAAACGTTTGACCTCTGTCATTGCCAACAAAGGATATATAACAAAGTATTGAGATGAACTTTTGATATTGACCAAATACTTATTTTCCACCATAATTTGCAAATAAATTCTTTCCAAATCATGTGATTGTCTGGATTTTTTTTCTCATTTTGTCTCTCATAGTTGAGGTCTACCTATGATGCCAATTACAGGCCTCTCTCATCTTTTTAAGTGGGAGAACTGGCACAATTGGTGGCTGACTAAATACTTTTTTGCCCCACTGTATTTCAGAGAATACAAGAAAATGGCAGATGAAGATGGATAAATGAAAACGGAACACAATTCATAATTTCATACACAAATATGAAGGTACTCCTGCATTGTGGTTTCAATGCTGCTCTGGCAATGCTGCACTTCACTGGACTGCAGCAGATGCCCGGAAAAAAATTTCAAGGGTCCCATTTTGAAAAATCCAAAAACACTTCAGTGGTCAGATTTTTACTGCTGACTAAAAAGTGTTGATTACCCTTACCAGCCCATGATTTAGTATCCAAGGTATGGCTATCCCCATATCCAAATGCATGAATGTGATCTTATGGCTGGCCACTAAACATGGACTATGTTCAAGACAAAGCTTGTTGCATTGAGAAATCCCAAGTCATGTTCACCAGCCAGCTGCCACAAACTGATACAATTTTATTGAAAAAGACAAATGCTTAAAAAAAACAAAAATAAAATACATTTCCCTCAAAACTGCTGATCATTGTAATTATTTGTTCTAGAAATGTAGCCAGATTTGCACAGATGTCACAGCAACTTCAATTCCCACACTCTCTGCAGTTGGTTGCCCTGATAACGTCGATTAAAGTTAGTGTACACACTATGAGAAAATTAGACGAAAGATCATCCAAATTTCCAGAAAGGTGCGTATCATGATGTAACGGACAATAATATTAACTTGAAAATTCTCGGCCTACGAAGGCAAACGTTCTTTCTTGTTTACAATTTTGTTGCCACCTTCGTCCGGGCTGTTGCTCGGCTCAGTCACACTGAATACATTATTCAGAATTTTGTAACACAGTTAAAAGGCTGATGTTAGCAATGCTTTCAAACAGAAAAGCGTTGCACAAAAAAATCTGACAAGCTCGATCTTTGGATATGTTCCTTTGTGTTTCTTGTTTAAGTCAACCCTTTCAAATCACAGTGTACTGGAAAGTGTCTGGAAACATTACAATGCATTAGGACTTGATGCTCTCAAGTACTGAAGTAAGGTCAGTTTGACAATTAGAAAAGTAGCACTTTTCTAAGGAAGCCTCAGCGATGGCACCCCCTTTTTCACGTTTTCTTTACAACAAGTACAAGACCTTTCATACTCTACTTTGCTGCAATTATACCTCATTAATCATAATGGAATTAATTGGTTCAAAAGTTCATGTTAATCAAGAATAGAAGCCGCTGCTCTAATTATACACATTTGAGGATTTTATGGTTAATAAAAACAGCATAGAAAAGAGAATGGCACCATATGCTTTCAATCTTATGTGAAATGTTATAGGTTAGAAAATGTAATGCTTGACCAAGTCCTCACCTTTGTCACAAATGCACAACCCTAATTATATACAAGAGGGACCCATGTAAAGCCTAGTGTTTAGCACTACATCCCCATATCCATAAAGTGGTATTAAACCCATTTATTATACTGCAGCTTACCAATTCTGAGATGTGATGGCTGCATTACTTTTCTTTTTTAGGCTTTCTTTCCTTTAGTGATCCTGCCAGTAAGTCAGTTTTTTTTCCAACAGGACAAGCTAACAGTCTGATGTAACAGTTGAGGGATGAGACAAACCATTTACCACTGACAGGGGTTCTTACAATGTCCAGCTTTTGTTATGAAAAGACTTTATTCCAGAAGGAAAAAAAACTGATGTAACTGTTTATAAAGTGTGAGCTGGAGTTTGGCTTCAATTTGTTAGTGTATTTAAATCTGCTAGTACATATAACACTCCCCTCCTTCCAAGACTGACAATGCTGCTGCCCAAAGGTGCCCCCTAAGTGCCTTCATTCAGAGTGTCAGTACCATAGGGCAGGAAATATCTTACTGGCCAAATCACTATGAGCAAACGGAAGGGAAAAAAAAAAAATAAGGAGGAAAACTAAAAACAGCCACCACATGTAATGATTGGTAAGCTGCAATATATTACATTTATGGTTTTGTGTTTAAAGGATACATTCACCTTAAAAAAAAAAATAAATAAATGCACATTTTTATGCAGGTTAATAAATATGCAATTATTTTTTTCTAAGGAGCCTGTAAATCATTGCACCCAAGATCAGCATATCGGGCGTGCAATGTCAGGCTCCTGAATACTCTCAGGATAGCTGTCTCCTCCTACCTCCGATATGGGCAAGCAGTTACCTGACAGCAGGAAGATCAATGAACTAAGAGCGAGCTCAACAGTATCCTTATAGTTCACTGAGAACTACAAACTGTCAGCTGCAAAGGATGATGGTAGTTGTAGTTCATTCAATCACAGAATTCTGTGAATTAATGATGCAGCTGTGTGGGTGGAGCCCCGCACAGCCACGCTGTTTTCAAATTGTGACAGCGGGTGCGGGAAAAAAAAACCTCTGCCTGATGTCACAGGGAAGA